GTCGTGGGCCGTTTTGAGGCCACCCTGGGCCGATTTGAAACCATTTTGGGCCGTTTCGGAGGCGTCGTTGGCCATCCTTGGTTGCCTGTCTTGGCCGTCTTGTGAGGAAGGAACAATGCATGGAGAAGCGAAGAGTTGCCCCCCCCCCTGCAGGCCGGGGTGCAGTTGGCATAGAAAGGATTGTTGTTTTCCCCGTGGGTTCTAATGCCGTGTTGGTATTGGCGTTCGGACAGCGCGGGAAGATTCTTTGGCTTACGCCGCACCGCCAACCCCTTTTGGGGGAGAGTCGCTGTTGCGGCTTCTGGGTGATGCGTGACTTAAGCGGCCTCGGAGGCCCTTCAGATCGCTCCAAAACGGTCCACAAGGCCCCGAAGAGGACACAAGACGGCCCAGGAGGCTCCCCAGACGACCCAAGTGTGCCCCAAGAGCGCCCCAAGAGTGTGCCCAGAGGGGGACCGCGAACCGATATTTCGAGGTCTCTGGCCCTAGAGGCCCTCAGTAGGCTCCCGGAGGCCACCAAGGGGCTCCCACGAAGCCCCGTGAGGCCCCCAAGAGGCCCCCAGGAAGCCCCAAGAGGCCCCAAGGGACCCCCAGGGAACGCAAAAGAGGCCCCCAACACGCCCCAACACATCATGTTCCCAGAAAGTTTTCCGGGGACATGGTTCATCATGGGCCCGAGAGTCTCCGGAGGCTCCGAAGTACCATCGCGCTACCGGGGAGTTGTCCGGGAAGTTGATTGGGAGCATGACTGATCGCCTTCTCGTGGCCCTCCGCGGATCGTTTCGCACAAAGTTGCCCCAAGTGCCCTCTTGAACCGACGACGGCGAAGACGACGAAGACGACGAAGGCGAAGGCGACGACGACGACGACGACGACGACGACGACGACGACGACGACGACGACGACGGCGCGCCCCAAGAGGCGACGACGACATTACGACGACGACGGCAGCACGCCCCAACAGTCTCCCCAAGACGCCCCCCAAACCCATATTCCCAGAAAGCCTTTTGGGAACCCGATTCATCAGGCCTCCGCCCCCCTACGCAGCCATCTTCCCCGAAAGCCTTCCATAATCCAGATTGACATTCATGGACTTCTCACTGCCCATAATGCGTTCAGCGTTGTGGGCACTTTACTTCGCGCTCAAACCATCTGTGGTCCACTTACTTCAGTGGACCAGTGAACTCGTCAAGGCCTGGGGCCTGCTAGAACTTGAGGGCGCGCGAAGCGCGCGATGGCTCTATTGCATAGCCCACAAGTCCTGCACACACACACAAACACACAAGCACACAGACAAAACCACACACAAAAATAAACACAAACACAAACACAAACACACACATACACACACACACACACACACACACACACACACACACACACACACACACACACACACACGCGTCGTGCCCCCAAAGGGAGTTCCTTCCACCCACTGCCGCAGGGTGCACGCGCGCGCCCGCCGCCCCCCTAGCACACCGCTCCGGGGGATCGTGGCTGACCGCGAATAGTATGTCCGAATAGTATGACATGCGTCTCTTCCACCGGGTACAGCGTTCCATGGCTCCATAGGGAGCTCACCCGAAGGTTCCAGTAGCGCAGCCTGTATGCGTCTCCCACACCCAGTACAACGTTTCGTTGCCCCATAGGGAGCTCCGCCGAAGGTCAAAGTGGCGCAGCCCGCATGCGTTTCTCACAACCAGTACAGCGTTTCGTAGCCCCGTAAGGAGCTCCACCGAAGTTCCCAGTGGCGCAGCCCGCATACGGTTCCCCAACCCAATGCAGCATTCCGGGGCCCCATAGTGAGCTCCACCGACTGTCTCAGGGGCGCAGCCCGCATGCATCTCCCACACCCATAGAGCGTTCAGGGGCCCCATAGGGAGCTCCACCGAAGGTCTCAGTTACGCAGCCCGCATGCGTCTCCCACACCCAGTACAGCGCTTTGTGGTCCCATATGCAGATCCTCCGAAGGTTTCAGTGGCGCAGCCCACGTGCGTCTTCCACACCCAGTGCAGCGTTTCGGGGACCCATAGGGAGCTTCACCGACGGTCCCAGTGGCGCAGCGCGCATGCGTCTCCCGCACCCAGCAGAGCGTTCCGGGGCCCCATAGAAGTCTAGACGCTTCGCGTAACCCCACCAGCCCATCCAGAAATGATGCCCAGAGGAATTACCTCAATCAGGGAAGTGGGCAGCACACAAGGGAAGGGCTCCCAGTGGAGGCCTCTTGGAGCGTCTTGGACGCCTCTTGGCGGTCCTGGACGCCTCTTAGAGCGGCTTGGATGCCTCGGAGAGCTTGGGGCCTCTTGGTGGTCTCTTGGGGGCCCCTTGGAGGCCTCTTTGGCGCCTGTTGGGGCCTCCTGGGGCCTCCTGGGCGCCTCTTGGGGCCCTCTTGGAGCCCTCTTGAGCCATCTTGGAGCCATCTTGAGGCCTCGGATGGCCATCGGAAGCGAAAAGGCGAGAAAGCCAAACACATTGATTTCATCAAGGTTTTGGAAGGATGTTGGCCTCTTTGGGGCCTACTGGGGGAGCTCTTCGGCCACTTGGAGTCGTCTTGGAGCGGTCTTGGGGCCTCTTGGAGCATCGTGGGAGCAATCTTGAGGCATCTTGGGATATGTTGAGCCATCTCGGAGGTCATCTTGGGCTCCTACCTGGCACTCTCGGAGTCATCTTAAAGCAACCTTAGTAAATCAATGATTTTGTCATTCTCGCCGAGGTCTCTTGTAGCGTCTTGGGTGCATCTGGGGGGCCTCTTGGGGCCTCTTGGGGGTCTATTGGGAGCCTCTTAGGGGGCATCCTGGGGGTATCTTGGGGGCTAATTGGGGCCTCCTGGCCACCTCTTGGGGCCCTCTTGGGGCACCCTTGCGAGCGCTGGGGGCGCTCTTGGGGCCATCTCGGAGGAGATCGATCAAGAAAGGCGGGGGGCGTTAATTAGCCCCCCCCCCAGGAAGCCAAAATGAGGCCAAAACCTTAGTAAAACCAATTATGTTGGCTTCCTCGCCGAGGCCGTTTTAGACGCTCTGACAGCTCGCGGATTGCGCAGCCCGCATGCGTTTCTTCCACCGAGTACAGCGTTCCATGGCCCCATAGGAGCTCCAACGAAGGTCCCAGTGGCGCAGCCCGCATGCGTCTCTCCCTCCCAGTATAGCGCTTCGTGGCCCCATGGGGAGCTCCACCGAAGGTCCCAGTTGCGCAGCCCGCATGCGTCTCCCCCACCCAGTACTGTGTCTCGTGGCCTCGTAGGGATCTCCACTGACTGTCCCAGTCACGCAGCCCGCCTTCGTCTCCAACACCCAGTTCGTTTCGTGGCCCCATAGGGGGCTCCACCGACTGTCACAGGGGCGCAGCCCGCATACGTCTCCCACACCCACTACAGCGTCTCATTGCCTCAAGGGGAGCTCCACCTACTGTCTCAGTTACGCAGCCCGCGTGCGTCTCCCACACCCAGTACAGCATTCCGTGGCTCCGTAGAGAGCTCCACCGACTGTCCCGGGGGCGCAGCCCGCATGCGGCTCCCCCTACAAGTACAGCGTTGTGTGGCCCCGTAGGGAGCTCAACCTAAGGTCCCGGTGGCGCAGCCCGCATGCGTCTCCCCCACAGAGTGCAGCGGTTCGTGGCCCATAGGGGGCTCCACCGAAGGTCCCAGGGGCGCAGTCCGCATGCGGCTCCCCCTATCAGTACAGCGTTGTGTGGCCCTACTAAATAGCTCCACCGGTGGTTCCCGTGGCGCAGCCCGCAGGCTTCTCCCACACCCAGTGCAGCGTTTCGTGGTCCCACAGGGGGGCTACGCCAAAGGTCCCAGTGGCGCAGCCCGCATGCGTCTCCCCCTCCCAGTACAGCGCTTCGTGTCCCCGTAGGGAGCTCCACCGACTGTCCCAGGGGCGCAGCACACATGCATCTCCCACACCCACTACAGCGTTCCGTGGCCCCGTAGGGAGCTCCACCGCAGGTCTCAGTTACGCAGCCCGCATGCGTCTCTCCCACACACACACAGTACAGCGTTTCGTGGCCCCATAGAGAGCTCCACCGAAGGTCCCAGTGGCGCAGCCCGATGGCGTGTACCCTGCCGAGTTCAGCGTTTCGTGGCCCCATGGGAGCCCCACCGAATTTCCCAGTGGCGCAGCCCGCATGCGTGTCCCCCACCGAGTGCAGCGCTTCGTGGCCCCATAGCGAGCTCCACCGAAGGTTCCAGTTGCGCAGATCGCATGCGTCTCCCACACAGTACAGCGTTTCGTGGCCATAACAGGGGGCCTCCACCGAAGACGATAATCTACAACTGCGGTGTTCACATTTGCATATGTTGGGGTCCTTCGCCAGGCTTATCTGATTTTCAGATCCCAATCTGTTTTAGGCGCCTTCCTGCTTGAGCCCAATCTGCTTCAAACGCCCTCCTGCATGTTTCTACCCACTTCTTCCGACCGACGGGTACCGCTGTTCGTCCTGGAGAGCTCTCGTCGCCACGGCTGGCCAGAGTCTCTTCGAATTCTCAGTATGCTCCCTGGGAGAGGTCCAGGGAGCGGTGTTGGCACCTGATCCCCCCAGAATCGGAGACCCTTTGAGGAAACCGGCAACGGATCACTCTCAAAAGGCGCTGGCGCGACTCGTGACGCAACCAGTGGGGGAGGGCGTGGGGAGCGGGGCGGACCGCGAAGAGCACGAAGATGGGCCCCAGAGGCCCCGACCACTTCCCCTATGGGGCAGCTCTCTGCCCCCGCTCCATGTCTGATGACGGGTGCCCGCACACGGCCCCCACGCCGATGCTCACCACTCACCGAACCACCCACCACCCGAAGGTCTCGATTTGCCTTCCATTTCCAGTTGGGGGGGGGTCGGGGGACATCGAGAACACACATGGAACCCGTACCCCCCCCCCAACCCGAAACTCGGGTCTTCGGGTTGGGTTGGGGTGGTCTGGTAGGTAGTCAGATGCAGAAAAAAAAAACGCCGGTTCACAGTCGTCACGTCGTCGCAGCTCCTGCGGGGAGCCGCCGCGCCCCGGCGAGGCGGCGATGGAGCCCGACTCGCCCCTGCACGGCAGGCGGGGCTTCTTCACCGGCTACAACGTCTGGGCCGGGGCCTCTGCCGGAGAGGGGGGTGCGCTGCATCTTCGGGGGACTTCGGCACCTCTTGCAACTGGCGGTCTTTTCTCGTAACCATATCGCGGGTTCGACGCGGAATCGGCGCGGGCTGGACATGGATTCGGCACGGATCTGACGCAGATGGCGTCGCGATGGGGCAGGCAAGGTGCCCCGCCGAAGATGCCTCCTACAGGGGGTCGGAAGGGAAGGACGCTTCAAGGCGGTGAGCATGGCCGCTGGGGATGATGAGGATGGAGGAGGATGGATGATGGAGGAGGAGGAGGAGGAGGAACAGGAGGAGGAGGAGGAGGAGGAGGAGGAGGAGGAGGAGGAGAAGAAGGAGTATTGCGAAGGCCTTACGGCCTGTGCCGCCGACCCTGAGAACGACGAAGATGAAAACGAGGGGGGGGGTCAGGGGGAGGAGGATGAGTGGGAGGTGGAGGAAGGGTGGAGGAGGTGGATGAGGGAGGAGGAGGGGGGAGAAGGATGTGGAGGAGAAGCAAGAGGAGGAGAAGGAGGCAGAGGAGAGCAGGAGGAGGGGGAGCAGAGGGGGGGGAGGAGGAGGAGGAGGAGGAGGAGGAGGAGGAGGAGGAGGAGGAGGAGGAGGAGGAAGAGGAGGAGGAGGCCAGAGGCTTTCTTGGAACAGCCTGGGGCTCTCTTGAGGCCGTCTTGGGCCGTCCAGGGCTCCTCTTGCGCCGTCTCGAGGCACTCTTGGAGGCCTCCTGGGCAATTTGGGGCTCTCCTGGGCTGTCTTGGGCTGTTTGGGGGCCCCTTGGGAGCCTCTTGGGGCCTCTTGGGGCTTATTCGGGGCCTCTTGGGGGCCTTTTGGGGCTGAGAGCTTGAAAATGTCCGTTCGGGTCCCCCGTCTGGGCAATCTCCTGGAGCCGTCTTAAGGGCCTCTTGGGCCGTCTTGGAGGCGTCTTGGGCCGTCTCGGGGCCCTCTTCGGCCGTTAGGGGACCCTCTTGGGGGCCACTTGGCGCGTCGGGAAGCGGGAGAGGCAAGAACGCCAAAATCTTCCAAAAACGTATAGAAAATCAATGAATTTTGCCTCTTGAGGCTCTCGTGGGAAAGTTCCTGGAGGCCTCTTGGGGCGCTTTGCAGGCCTCTTGGGCCGTCTGGAGGCCGTCAAGGCGTCTTGGACAGATCGTTCTGCGATTAGGGGTTCTTTTGGACTGTCGTTGGGGCCTCTTGGGGCACTCTTGGCCCGTCTTGGGGCTTTTTTGGGCTCCGGGACTCCCAGGGGTATCTGACCCCCCCCATCCCTCCCCCGGCGGGGGCGGGATCAAAGGGAAGGAGCTTCCCTTCGACTCAATTACGACGTTGCTCAACTTTGCTTTAGCTGGCGCGCTGAGGAGGTCCCTGAGGGGGGAGCTTCGACGAGCCCAGGGAAAGGGGGGAGGCAGGGAAAGCTGACGACAGAGACGACCAACGAATGACGGAGATGACGACTTCAACGGACAAGCCCCTCACACACGCCGACAGGGTCGGCGGATTTCTTCGGGTCCCTGAGGCCGGATATCGTGCCCCCCAAAAGGATGATGATGATGATGATGATGATGATGATGCTGATGATGATGATGATGATGATGATGATGAGGATGAGGATGAGGATGAGGATGAGGATGAGGATGAGGATGAGGATGAGGATGAGGATGAGGATGAGGATGAGGATGAGGATGAGGATGATGGTGATGGTGATGGTGATGGTGATGGTGATGGTGATGGTGTTGGTGATGGTGATGGTGATGGTGATGATGATAATGATGTTGATGATGATGATGACGATGATGGTGATGATGATGTTGCTGCTGATGATGATGCCGATGATGTTGCTGATGATGAGTATGATGGTGATGATGCTGAGGATGCTGATGATGAAGATGCTGATGATGCTGATGCTGACGATGATGATGATGATGATGATGATGATGCTTGTGGTGGTGGTGGTGGTGATGATGGGGATGCTGATGATGATGGTGGTGATGATGATGATGATGGTGGCGCTGATGATGCTGCTGATGATAATGCTGTTTTTGATGACGCTGATGCTGCTGATGATGATGATTATTCTTAATATGCTGCTGATGATGATGATGAGGAGGAAGAGGAGGAGGAGGCGCAGGAGGAGGAGGACGATGACGAGGAGGAGGAAGAGGAGGAGGAGGAGGAGGAGGAGGAGGAGGAGGAGGAGGGGGAGGGAGTTTTTGCTAGAGTTGTTTCGTTTCCAAGCTCCTCGTTGTTTCGCCGCCGTTGTCAAACCCTTGAGCAGCCGCCGTGTGCATCACGATGAGCAAACTTATTTCTTGTTTGTTTGTGTGTTTGTTTGTTTCACGGGCGTTTAACTGCATCTCTCTCTCTCTCTTTCTCTCTTTCTATGTATAGGCGGTGACCGTGCTCTTTTCTCTGAGGTCGCTGAAGGAGGGAGGAGGGGGGAACAGGAGGGAGGGACGGATTCCACATCAACCGCGCACACGCACGCAAACCTCGTGGGGGTTCGGCGACGGAGGGAGGGAAGGAGGAGGGAGGGAGGGCAGGCAGGGAGGCAGGGAGGCAGGGAGGAGGAGGAGGAGGGGAGGAGGAGGAGGAGGAGGAGGAGGAGGAGGAGAGGAGGAGGAGGGGGAGGGAGGAAGGGAGGTCAGGGAGAACGAGGGCGAGGACAAGGGAGAGGGAGGAGGAGAAGGAGGAGGGAGGAGGAGGGAGGAGGAGGAGGAGGAGGAGGAGGGGAGGGAGGAGGAGAAGGAGGAGGTGATTCATCCCCGATCAGAGTCCGAGCAAAGTGAGAGGAGGAGGAACGGATAGATGGATGGAAGGAGGCCAGGGGCGGGAGGGATGAGTAGAGCGAGGAGGCGGGAGGGTGGGGCGAGGAGAGGGATGGTGGCCGGGAGGAGGACCGATGCTAGAGAGCCCCAGAGGGACGGGGCTGAGGGTTAGAGACTCGGGGGGGGGGAGGGCGCCCCTCCCCCTCCCAGGTGCAGCCAGAGGGGGGAGGAGGAGGAGGAGGAGGAGGAGGAGGAGGAGGAGGAGGAGGAGGAGGAGGAGGAGGGATAAGGAGATAGTCGTGAGGATTGGAACCTGAATATTATAATTGCTGGGATGGTGAGCATGGTGACGCTAGATGTTATGATGATGGCGATGCTGCTGATGAGCAGGAGGACGAACCATGGATGATGGTCATGAGGGGAGGGGGGTAAGAAAGATGATGCCGATGGCGAAGGATGGCAAGGGGGGGGCCCTTTGCGAGTGTTCGGAGCGGCCCAAGCCCGCCCAGCCTCGGGCCGAGCTCCGGCTGGGGCTCGGGCTCGATTCCGAGCTCGAGCTCGGGCTGGCGCCCGAGCCCGAGCCCGAGCCAGAGCTCGGCCCGCTGCCGAGCCCCCCCCCCTCGCCCCACGATCGCGCCCCCGAGTGCCCGGCCGCGCTGGCAGGGAGCTGGCCAGTCGGGCAGGGCGAGGGGCGAAAGGCCCCCCGTGCCAGGCCGGGCAGCACAGAGGCCGAGCGGCCACCGTGCCGCTTGTGCGGCGGGAGCGAAGCGGGGGTATGGGTGCCTCAAGAGAACCCGTCGCTGGGCCTAGGATGTTCCAACCTACCTTGGTCTTGACCACCAGAAGGGATTTCGAGCACCAAGAAAGTACCGAAACCTGAGAGGGTTCTCACGCGTCCGGCACTGGGAGGCGACACTCGTGCGACACTAGTTCGACACTTTTCTGGGTACTCGAAATTATTCATGGGATGTGGTTCTTAAGTACGATGGGAGCAACGTAACGCTGGGCCCCCCTGACGGCGCCTTCGGCGACCAGAGGAGGGGAACCCAGTGCCGACCCAGTAATCCGCACGGAGCTCTGACAATTTCTGTTTATGGAGTTATTTGTTCTTCTCATTGGCACGACACGTTTGGCGCAGGTGAGATTTGCGTGATTGCAACAGCGTTTCCCCATCTGCGCAGTCATTTGCCTCACAGGCCCCACACAGAGGGTCGTGCTAGCAGAATGCTGCGATCTGTGTGCCAGCGTTGAGTCTAGGAAGAAAGTCATTGGTTGGAGAGATGGCTCGTTATCGTGCAACCTATCCCCATCCCCACCGGCCCATGGTATCTCAGCCCCGTCATCCCCCCCCGCCGGCTTGGGGATATGGGCCCCTTTACATCTGAAGGGAACCGCCTCGATCCCCATCTGGGGGTTCAGATCGGCCATGTGAGACCAAGGCCATGCCGGTGGGGATGCGCATCGGCAGAGCGGTGCTCATCTGGCATGCGTTGGGCGGGGGCAGGCGGTGGGGCGGGGTGCGATGGGGGGGAGGGGGGGAGCGGCGGAGGGGCGGCGATGCGGAGGGCGCAGTGCTGGAGCCAAGAGGTGCCGCTGGCCGCCGTGGGGCCTCCCCGGCCTGGTGATCCAGCACTCCCCGCCTGCCTCGCCTCTTCCCCTCGTCCGCGCCCTCTTCTCGGCCAGCCCATCCTGTCCCCCCATTCTCCTCCTCCTCCTCCTCCTACTCCTCAGCACCATTCTCCTGCCGCGCCGCCGCCCCTGCCCTCTGGTACTCCCTCGCCGCCTTCTGTACATAGTGCGTCCTCCCTGGTCCCTCTTGTCACCCCTCGTCTTCATCTCCTGCTCCTTTCTCTAGGTCGTCCTCCCTGGAACATGGCTCTACGTCCTCATCACCTTACTGTTCTCCCCCTCTTTTCCTCATGTGAAAACCTCTGCCGGCCACACCCCGTGGAGCCACCTAGAATTATTTGAGAACCTTGCGAATTGCTTCACAGCCTTCACCACCTTCCCTCCGTCTCCATCTCCCCTTCTACTTCTCCTCCTCCTCCTCCTCCGGGAGAGAGAGAGAGAGAGAGAGAGAGAGAAAGAGAGATAGAGACAGAGAGAGGGGGGGAGAGCAAGAGAGAGAGAGAGAGATCCTTCGTCCAGTCCTCCCATCCCCACTTTTTGCAGCGTGTTTATAGTGGTCGTCGGACCATCCCAGCACTGTCGACGAAACGATATTTCCGTCGACAGGTGAGCTTGGCAACGCCGACGTCGTCGCGATAAGAGCCAGCTAGGGGTTCTCCTCCACGAGGACCCCCCTAGCCTCCTTCTTGCCCCCCTCCCTCCCCTCCCTCCCCCCACTCCTCCCGAGGTCTGGCTGATCATCGTGCTGGGGGTGATCTCCGGCATCACGGTCTCTTTTGCTTTGAAGTTCGTCGACAAT